ATGAACGTTATGTCCCGTTGTTGCGGGAAAGCGGGATATACTTTGACGCAGGTAAAAAAGAAAACTTAMGATGAATACACGGAAGAAAGAATGAATTAATGAGATGGTGAATGTGTGAGAAAATGGATTAACGAGCGAATGAAGAAAAAATAATGGATTGACAAACGAGTGAATTGATAAATGAAAAAATGGAATAATGAAAGAAAACATGAATGAACACATAAACAACAACTACTACAAATTAGTTTCAAAGTTCTTTGTTATAAAATATCATCATAGCAATATTTACAATACTTCTGTTCTAACAAGCAACGATAAAGTTAGAAATGGACAAAAAAAATTAATTTGAAATATTTAACCCCTTTTCCATTTCAATATCAATATTATCATGAGAAAATGACAGAAAAGTACAAGTAGAATTATTTTCTTTCAATAGCTACATAATGTATCACATGTAAGGAAAGCTCTTAGTAGTAATGGTGGGAAAGGTGGGAAAGGAGAAAGGTGTTTTCTCATGAGAAAGGAAACTTTGTCAGTAAGAAACCATKGGACGCCCAGAGGTTGCTAAACAAGAAATCTACAGACCGACAGCCTCCCCTACAGGTGTATCTCTTGTTTCTAAAAAATAACGGTCTTCCTGTGTTAATCATTAAAGAGTGTTACTAGTAACAAATCAGAAAAAAAATTGAGTTTTTTTTCGCTTCCCCAGTCTACTGTCATCCCTGTTTCCACAGGGAACCCGAAATATGTAAAAACTGGAAAAATGACATGCCTGAGAGGAGGCTATGGATTGTATAGGTGTGAGAATGCTAAACACAAAACAAAACACATTTGGATGGTTTTTATCTAACTTTGAAGCATGAAATTATAAGAGAAAGTACTTTTTGTCACTATTCAAAGTAACAAGGTACGCTTCGTCTCTTGGACATCCAATAATTTCTTCATAATTTACATGTATGATGCCACAGTTAATTSTAATAGGTCTAAGTACTATGTACTGGGACTCCTCCATCCCTAACCTTGTTTCCAGATCCTTTCACTTCTTGAGAAGTGAGACATGGGCCTGGGAATGAGGTGGGTATCCCATGATGCAAGATATTAGAGCACAGGAAGCCCAATATGTAATAGTTGTTATAATCTATCTATTCTATATATAAATGCATTTGTAGTTAAACCATTGAATTGCTTTGTTCCCCAGCTATTTGGCTAACAATCTGTCACAATAAAAAATATCTGTTAAAAATATATATGAGTTTTTGGGAYTTCTTCTACACTATGTTATAGCTTCAATTGTGTGTAAAATATGCAGAAATTAAGATC